GATACGGCTCCCGAATCTCCACCGTCGCCAACGAGAGCCGGCGACAAAACGCCCGACCCATCGGCAAAACACGACAAGCGAATGCTAGGTGACCCAGCAGCACCTGCATCTGCCGCAACTGCACTTTCTTCGCCCCCTTGACGAGGTCGACCCAACGCAAGAGCACTACGACCTTGTCCTCCGGCAACCGAAAAACCATGTTGGCGGAATCAATTTCCACCCCGAGGAACGACAGCACCTCAGCCGGACCCTCTGTCTTCTGTTCCGCGACCGGAATGCCGAAATCAGCTGCCACCTCCCGAAAAACACGCAGAAGGTCCCCACATACCCCCGTCCCACGGTTTCCGACAAACAAAAAATCATCCAAATAATGTGTCACTGACACAAAACCCGAAACCTGAATGACCACCCATTCCAAAAAGACGCAAAGGACTCGAAATAGGAGCAGGAAATCGCACACCCCATCGGCAGACACATGTCATAGTAGTAACTACCCTCAAAGTGGCAACCGAGGAGGTGATGACACTCCGGGTGGACTGGTAACAAGCGGAAGGCCGATTCAATGTCGGACTTCGCTAACCAGGCTCCAACCCCGGCATCCCTGACCAATTCCAACGCCCTGTCGAAAGACGCGTACCGGACACGGCTAAACTCCTTATCAATGCCGTCGTTAACAGACTCACCTGCTGGATAAGATAAATGATGAATCATGCGGTAAGCTCCCTCCTCCTTTTTGGGGACCAAACCCAACGGTGACACCCGAAGATTCACAAATGGCGAACGGACAAACGGCCCTGCCATCCTCCCCAAACTTACCTCTTTGTCCAATTTTTCCCGCAACATCCCTTCCCTACCCTGAATCGAACGCAAGTTGTTAGCAAAACGCGGCTCCGCCGAGGGAACAAACGGAACCCAAAACCCCGACGAAAACCCGTCCGCCAACAGCAACGCATCCCGCCGCTTAGGATACCGAGCGAGCCACGGCGCCATCCTTTCCCCTCTCACCGGGGTCCAGGCCTTTTGGGGCGGCATCCGCGGCCCCACCTTTGGGAGGCACCTGTTTCCCCTTTTTGAAACAGCGCGACGCAGCATGCGCTCCTCCACAGTGAGAACACTCGTGTCGAAAGCGGCAGGAACTATACCACCTGCAATGGCTCTCATTGAAGAGCCAACAAACCCCTCGCTTAGGGCCAGCCGGCGCCCCTGGCGGGCCGCCGGCTGCTCCCTGAAAGGGTGCCGGCCGGCTGGGAGTCATGAGCAGCAGCCAAAGGCTGCCATCCTGCATCCCGAAGTCCAACCCCGGGCATACCGCCATCTTCTGCCGCAATTGCTGGTCATAACGAAACCAGCATTGACCGCCGTATATTTTGTAAGCCCCCCAAATGAGATCCAGGTACCCGAATAACGAAGGGGCCCGTTCCGGGAACTGCCTGGACAACACACTGGCGAACACCGCAAACCCCTGCAACCAGTTCCCAAAAGTTCTCGGCAGCTGCTTGCCCTTGTCCCCTTCCCCCGGCTCCCCCCGCCGCGGCCTATCCACGGCATCCTTGTCCGGCGGAACCAGGGAAAGCAAATCTACAAATTCGCCGCGCACTATCTTCTCGCGCGTCTCGCTAGGGACATGCATGCTCAGCGGAGATAACTCACACCCAGGTATGCTGGGGCGAAAAGCGCACATTGGAGCTGCAGGCGCAGGCCCTGGCGCAGAAACCAACCCCCCTTGCGCAGCCCCTGGTAACCCTGCAACTAGGGCCCTAAGCAAGCGCAAAACCTCCCCTTGCGCCTCCCTGGAACCCCCTATACTGGCCCCCAGACCACCCCATGCGCTTGCGCAGGCTGACTCACCGGACACAGGAAGGTTGCCAGGAACCTGTTCCTCCAGCAGCTCCTCCTGCTCCTCCACGCTGTCTTCCTCTCCCACTGCCGCTTCTTCATCCATCTCCAGCCGGCCTCTCCACAGGCCGCCATCCTCCGCTTCTTCTGGCCGACCACCGCCATGGCCGCCATCCCCCGAGCTCCTGAGCCGACCGCCCGGCCGGCCGCCGTCCCTCCATGCCGCCCGGGCACTTTCCAGGCCAGCCTCCTGGCTGCCCGGCTCTCCGGACCGGTTTGCCCGGTTCCAAAATGGCGGGGCCTGCGACGTCAGTGCGGTCCGGCGCACTGACGTCACGTACGCGCCCCGCGGCGCCTCCGTCGGCGTCACTCTTCCTGCGCGACGGGCGCGCTCAGACGTCACTTCCGGCTGGGCCGGAAAAGAAGCCGGACTCCTCGACCGCGTCCCTCGTCCGCCGCCATCTTGATCCCGCCGACCAGCCTCCATCTCTCGCCGCAGCCGCCCTCCTGCAGCCCAGACAGGTAAGGGGACACCTCCATCCGCTCCACTCGCTCCGTCCGACCCGGGCACTCTCCTCCTGCCGCTGCTTCGCCGCACTGGGCTGGGGGAAAGGCGCGTAGGAGGCCTGGATCGCCTAGGCCTTCTACCGCCATCTTGTCTCTCCACAGGCTTCACCACTGCCGCCCCAGCGCTGCCACCCTGCAGGCCGGCCATCACTTCACCCAACGACCCGGTGCCATTTCCCGACAGATAGGCCTGCAGCATCTCCACCAGGGCCTCCTTGGACACCACCGCCATAGCTCTCCCTGTGCCAAGGTGAGTAATTCTTCTTGCCAGGTGAGCAGGTAATTGAAAAGTCAATAAAAGTTTTCCTTTGTCTTTTTTTTTTTTTTTTTTTACTCTCAGAAGGTGTAGGAAGAAGGAAGGAGATTAAAGAAAAGGGCGGGAAAGCTCCTTTTAGATCTCTTCCTACCTACTGAGTGACCAGGGCCCACCCCCAGATTCCCTTATGTACTAGGTCCCCTATTGCTACATATGTATCCCTTTATGTCCATCCCCCCTCCCTGGGCAGCAGTCATGTCTTTCCCTTCCTTATTCAGTCCAGGGAAACCTGGAAATTGTCTTGCATCTCCTGAATTAGGTGCTATGATTGTATTTGACGGTTTTTTTTTGTTTTTTTAAAATGCTGCATTTTGAGAATTTTGGTTTACATTACTAAATATTATAAAGTGATACCAATATTTTGGCACAGCCTTTCCAATTCTATTCTATCATATAAAATAAATATTTTGGGGAATGGCAAACTAACTTAATAGTATAATATAGATAAAGAATAGTATATACACTACAAAAAAAACGTATAGCTGGAAGAATTCCTTGGTGTACCTCACAGACACCCAAGAAACAATGTAAAATAACTAAAAAGTGGAAAACACCCAGAATACGTGTAAATTAATATATAAAATATACAACAACCTGATGGAAAATGTAATCCATATGAATTCTGTATAAAAATCAGAAATCTAACCTAGCGTAATATAGTTAAAAAACTAGAATATATAAATATAGGTGATTGTAGATACACTCACAAACACACGTGGAATAAGGCTTCTCGCCCACTCAGGGGCAGTATGTGATGCGATGGATAGACTGGAAAATCCTCTCATAGAACATATGGAAATAAAGGAAATCACAGATAGTGAAGTTTGTTATTAAAATACAAAATCACAATTTATTGGTCACACTTACATGTGTGTTCATCACAAAGAGCGTATCTCTCAATAACCTGGAACTCCATGCAGTGTAGTGATCAATCCGAAATAGGAACTAACAGGAGGGGTTATCAATCAGATTGCCAAAATACAATACAATAAATATGAAAAAGAATTAAAAAACATTATAAAATAAAGGGAATATTTTTTATCCCTGAAGAAGTCCTATATTTTTACAGGACGAAACGCGTTGGACTTTTATATATGGACTTAATTTTCATATTGCCATTTTATATTGTTTTTTAATTACAATCAGATTGGTAAGTGCACTGATATTGTATGTGTATATATATTCACTGTTTTGGTTGATACAATAACCTTGAAAAAGACCCGCAGGGGTCAAAACGTTGGTTGGTTTGTTCGCTTTATGCACATTATTTAAATAAACTGGAATATTTTTTATCCCTGAAGAAGTCCTATATTTTTACAGGACGAAACGCGTTGGACTTTTATATATGGACTTAATTTTCATATTGCCATTTTATATTGTTTTTTAATTTGCATGTATTTGTATTTTGGCCGCTCTTTGATAACCCCTCCTGTTAGTTCCTATTTCGGATTGATCACTACACTGCATGGAGTTCCAGGTTATTGAGAGATACGCTCCTTGTGATATACACACATGTAAGTGTGACCAATAAATTGTGATTTTGTATTTTAATAACAAACTTCACTATCTGTGATTTCCTTTATTTCCATATGTTCTATGAGAGGATTTTCCAGTCTATCCATCGCATCACATACTGCCCCTGAGTGGGCGAGAAGCCTTATTCCACGTGTGTTTGTGAGTGTATCTACAATCACCTATATTTATATATTCTAGTTTTTTAACTATATTACGCTAGGTTAGATTTCTGATTTTTATACAGAATTCATATGGATTACATTTTCCATCAGGTTGTTGTATATTTTATATATTAATTTACACGTATTCTGGGTGTTTTCCACTTTCTAGTTATTTTAATAGTATAATAGTTTACATTTGAGTGAATAACCATGTCAGTTTGGTGGCTTTTTAGCATTGTGCTGGGTATGACACTGACTAGAGAACACATTTCATTTTTATTTCCAATATATTTATACGGGTGTGATTTGTAATATATTGTGGACTGTGGTTAAATAGTCCTGCAGCAAGGATTCTATGCTTTATGCAGGTTTCCAAATGATGCCAGCCTCACTGGTAGTGGTCAATGTTCTATTACATCACAAAGGATTTAAAACCTTACGGACTGGTGATGCACAGAGTGCTCACAGCTTGGGTCACCAAGCTAGAGAAGAGATTGACTTTTGAGTCTGCAAGCTATTAGGGCTATATATTATCTTTTATTGAAAAAAATCAAGAGAATTTATTCCTATATATGGAAAAGAAGGACCTTTTGAAATTAAAACCAATGGGCTCTTGCCCTCAGGACTATACTAGGCAGGTCAGGACAAAAGTGGACCAGCTCTCAGTGTGTAGGAGCTTGTTTCCCTCTCTGGGCAAAGACTATATAAAAAGTTACATCACCAATAATAAGGTCTCCAAAGAATCTTCGCACCAACCCTTGCCACCACTGGCATCAAGCAACCAGATGCGAAAAAGAAGAGATGTCAAGGTAAAAGGGATTCAAACTGGAAGTCAAGTAGGAAATGTCTGCTTGAAACTGACAAAGCCTCACATGCCACTGTGCAAAGAGAGCAGGGTCTCCATTACTGCTGGTGACTTCAAGCCATCACCTCCAAAGGAGCCCTCAAGACAGATAGCCCCCCGCTCCAAGTTCCATAAAGTTAAGATGGTGGAACAGCCATCACAGCCTCCACCTAGAAATGCCTCCCTTTTAAAGGCATTTAAATTGGTTTCTAGCGACGAAGGGCGTCAGAAGATTGAAGGCCTTAATATCATTCAAAACCTCTCAGTAACAAAACCACAGCTGCTAAATGCTAATCTAAAGGATATCAAAGAAGCTGTGAATAAGGAGGTATCAGGTATAAGGCTGGATGTCTCTGTGGCTGCAATTAACTGCATGGAGAGCTTGTTCTGTCAGCTGAAAAGCAGCATGTTAGATGACCAGGATGAGTGCCTCTTGGGGCTGCTGCTGAAAGCTGGAAATTCAACCTCCACCATAATGAGGAAAGTGGTCAAGGTCCTTTCCACAGCACTCGAGTCTTTGACACCTGAATGTGTGCTGGTTAATTTTCCCACTATTGCACTTACAAATGCCAACAGTGCAGTAAGGGAATGTGCTGCCAAATTCTTACGCCTGTCAGTGGAGCGAATGGGAGCAAGTCACATTCTGTGGGGTGCTTGGGATGTCAAGAAAAAGGTTCTTCCAGCCATTTCCACTTTGGTTGAAGATCCTATTCCAGAGGTCAGACAGCATGGACTCATCCTTCTCAAGAATTTCAGGAAATGTCTCAGCTTCCTTAACATGATGATGAAATATGATTCACCAGAAAACATGTCTGCCATATTAAAAATGTTCTTTGAAGAGGGAGTGCCAAACAAAACGGCTCCAAAGAAG